AATAGACATAGGCATATAGATAGATCTAGATATAGATATATAGATACAGATTTATAGATATAGTAGTTATATATACAGATATATAGATAAATGCTTTGATCGCATGGGAACCAGTCTCGCCACGACTCATAGCAGCTCGTTTTAATGCCAAGGGAAGGAAAACAACTTTAATTCAGTGCTATGCACCCACAAATGCTGCAACAGATGAAGAAAAAGAGGATTTCTAAAGCGCCCTGCAAGCTCAAATTGACAAATCACCAGAAAGAGATATAAAGATAGTAATGGGAGACATGAATGCCAAAGTTGGAACAGAAAATAAAGATCGGGAGCTCGCAATGGGGAAAAATGGAATAGGCGTAACAAACGAAAACGGGGAACTCTGCTGATTTCTGCGCATTTAATAATCTAATTATAGGGGTGGGGGACAATTTTCTCTCATGAAGATATACATAAGACCACCTGGACGTCACCCGATGGCAAAACAAAGAACCAAATTGATCACAGTTTCTAGAAAGTGGCGATGAAGTTTAATGAATGTTAGGGCGAAACGAGGTGCAGATGCAGCCTCAGACCACCAACTCGTGGTTGCAATACTAAAATCAAAACTAAAATCCTACAGGGATCAAGCTGAAAAACCGCACTTTAAAAATACAACATGTCTTAGATGTCCAAAAATAAAGGAAGACTTTAACTGCGCAGTAAAAAAAATAGGTATGAAGTACTCTCCAGTCTGTCAGAAGAAACAGTAGAGAAAAAAATAGCTAGGAATACAGGAACTATTGAAGCCCACATGCACTGGCATATTGGGTAGAAAAAAAGTGAACAAAAAGAATGGATCACAACACAGACATGGTCCAAAAATTGAAGATAGAAAAGAGATAAAGCAAAAGATGAACAAATGTAAGGATGAAAAAGAGAAAATAAACCCCAGAACACATTATTGTGAAGTGAATCGCATGGTCGGGAAAAGTGCAAAAGAAGACAAAAGACATTTCATACAAGAAATGATAGCGGAGGCAGAAACTGCAAAACGACAAGGAAAAATGAAGAGGCTCTATGAAGTAACCAGGACCCTATCAGGCAAAAATATTAATCCCAACAAACCAGTAAAGGATAAAGTAGGAAATATCTTAACAAGTGACACAGAACAGAGAGACAGATGGGTACAGCACTTCGATGAGATTTTAAACCATCCTCTCTCATCAAACATCTCTGATATACCACCTGCAAATCACCTACTAAATGTGTGCACAGATCCACCCACAAAGTTAGAAACAATAAGAGCAATAAAGAACATGAAAAATGGCAAAGCAGCTGGCCCGGACAGCATCCCACCAGAGGCACTAAAAGCAGACCCAGCCATATCAGCAGACATACTACATCCTCTACTTAAGCAGATTTGGAAAGAAGAGATAATCCCACCTGACTGGAAACTGGGATACCTGATAAAACTGCCAAAGAAGGGAGACCTGACTCAATGCAACATCTGGAGAGGGATAATGCTTATTTCTGTTCCAAGTTAGGTGCTGACAAGAATCATCATAGAGAGACAGAGATGCCTTTAACAAAAAGCTGAGACAAAAACAAGCTGGTTTTCGTCAAGACAGGTCATGTACTGACCACATTGCCACGCTGCGCATCATTATTGAACAGTCCCTCGAGTGGCAATCCCCCCTATACATGACTTTTGTCGACTTTTGGCAGTGTGAATAGAGATGTTATCTGGAAGCTAATGAGCCACTATGGAATACCCCAAAAAATTATATCTATCACACAGAAACTATACGAAGACTCCACCAGTCAGGTAATACACAAGGGAAAACTAACAAAACCATTCACGGTGAGACAGAGATGTATGCTATCGCCAATGATATTCTTGGTAATCGACTGGATCATGCTGAAAACCACAAAAAACGACACAGGAATCCAGTGGAGTTTCACCAAAAGACTGGAAGATCTTGATTTCGCCAATGACATCTGCCTACTATCTCACAAGCATCAACATACACAAGCCAAACTAAATCGGCTATCTGAAGAAGCCTCCAAAGTAGGACTAAGAATCAATAAAAATAAAACAGAGGTCATCAGAATCAATAACAGCCAGACCTGCCCATACAGCTAAATAGAGAAGATTTCTTTTACGAGAAACAAACACATTCACATATATGGAAAAGCGTGATCAATAAGGACGGGGGAGCAGACGAGGACAAAAAATGCCGAATCAACAAGGCTAGTTGTGCCTTCAACTCACTTCGCATGATGTGGAGGTGCACGGCCCTGTCATCCCGGAGCAAAATGGGGATTTTCAACACAAATGTCAAGGCAGTGCTGCTCTATGGCTCGGAGACTTGGAGGGTTACGAAGACAAATACTGATAGGCTACAGCCATTCGTAAATAAATGCTTACGACATATACTCAAAATTAGGTGGCCAGACAAAATATCAAACAAAGACCTGATATATATATATATATATATATATATATATATATATATATATATATATATATATATATATATATATATAAAGATAGATATATAGATGCATATATCTTGCTGTCACAAATAAAGAAAACAACAGACACGTACCACTGTCTTGTTAGGCGCAATGTGTATTGCGAGAATTCTAACATTTTTTCTTGTCTCCCTTCACGGATAGTCTTAGGCCACGTCACCACCTCAGACTGTTCTTTAGTTTTCACAATGGGACAATAGTTAGGGTCTACACAATAATAGACCGTAAGACCGTAAGTACATTTACATTTTTTTTTAAATTGCATACATTTAGTTTGATTAAAAATGAACTAGGCGAACGGAGGAGTCCACTTGGAAAAGCTGCAAAGTCACTAACTAACCTTATGATTTTTTATAGTTTACTGTTAAAAATTTATTTTACATTATACCTTTTAAACAAAATATAGTATACAGCTTTAATTTCCACTTAATTAAGAAGGCTATAAGAATAACTCATTTTTTTCTTCAAAAAGTGGACAGCAGGTTTTGAAAATGTACTCCTCAACTACTGTATTTAATAAATACTTAAAAAGGCATGCATTGATTTTCTAGATCAGGGGTCTCCAAACTTTTCAGTCCGAGGGCCGCATTAACTATCAAATTTCAGTTCGGGGGCCAGTTTCTTCGAGGCATATCTTTGATTTTTATAGGCAAAGTTCCTCAGCCATCACCAACAAATGTTTTTTCCGTGGACAAAAAGATCTCCGCGGGCCGGATGAGAGGACCTCGCGGGCCGCATCCGGCCCGCGGGCCGTAGTTTGAGACCCCTGTTCTAGATCATTGATAAAAAAACAAAAAAGCGTGACGTATTTAAGTTAAAAAAAAAATGTGCTTAAGGTTGAGTGTTGAGTTTTGCTTAGATTTCCTACCGTTTTATAAGGTTTTTTCTTTACCCAACTAAAAAGCATTTTGTCTCGAAAACGAATCGTTTGTTATTATCCTAAATAATTATTCATAACAGCCTATCTGATCTGAAATAGCAATTTCAGTCGCCCTAACATATTTATTTAACTATTTTAGCTATTAAAAAAATACTTACCTATAACACCCAACGTGTCAGGAACGAATACTTCTCTGGAAAACCAGTTGTTTGGAGTAGTTGAGTAGACAGAAATATTTTCTCGTATTTCATTCAGTACCGTTTGGAAGCTTAGCTCAGCTATGGTAGTTACCTCGAGTTTTAGGCGTACATGATATTCATCATTGTTTTCTGGAATTTCTCTGTTAGAAAAAAAATTTACCCAATTTGTTTTGGAGAGATTAGCCAGCTAGACTAGATGATGTTTATTCACTATCATCATTTCCCGTTTGTGCCCAAGTTAGGTGAAAGAAATGTTAAATATACGTATAAAATTTTATTCTCTTGATTGTATTAAGTTTTTAATGATTTCCGCCTAACAAAAGTATTACTTTATTTCCGATTTTAGAAAACAGTTTAATTCTACCGGACTGATTTCTTCCAAAGTTTTTACGCAGGTCTAGACTCGATGACAATGCAAGGTGTCATTAAATTTGTCTAAATAGATGGCTAATTAGTTTTTTAAAATTAATCTTTCTTTTTTTTTTAAAAAAGCACTAATTTTCCTCTCTATTATAAATACATTGATTACGTTAATTAGGTGGGCAATTCCTTGTTCTACGCGATTCGATTCCATTTAAAATACAATGTATGCTTAAACTGGAATGTTTAGGGAACAGCACTCCCGTTTTATTTAAATTGTATTGTTGTCGACAAAATTTAGTTATAATAAAAGTGGTTAAGTTTAGAAAAAAAGTTTGAGAAAATCTACACTTAGTCAAACAATAAAAATGACAAGTAAGACTGGGATATCTGACCCATAAAACTTACTCAAAACTTCGGACACTTGTTTCCACAAAGCCAATTTTTGAATCGATTAATGGTCGTATCTTTAAAAACAAAAACTAGTTTTATTAAAGTTTATTCATATATGTATACACATGGATAACATGAACTGAAGTAAAAGTTAATAATATGAGGTATAGGTATGTATTTTAAGGTATGTTATTTAAACATTCTCAAGCAAAAACCGAAGGTTTACAGTTGGTTAAAAATAAGTTTGCTCATAAAAATACATCTTTATCATAATTAATTCATCAACTCATGAAGAAATGAATGTGTGAACTGTCTTAATTTTTATAGCTAGCTTATTAATAATAATTGTGTTGACTGCCATATTTAATTAATAAACCAGCACATTAGCACTTCTTTTCTCTTCTTCTCTGTCCCACTATTTACCTACCATGTCTCACACTTATTATATATATACGCACATACTTACACACATATATGTGTGTGTTTGTGTGTGTGTGTGTGTGAGTGTGTGTGTGAGTGTGTGTGTGTATGTGTGTGTGTGTGTGTGTGTGTTTAAAGTTCCCTTTCAAACCTGATGGTCTACGGGCCAAGTAAAGTAGAGTTCACTTGTTTCTGTGGCCTCGGCAATCAGGCGACCATTAGTTTTAATCTGCGCTCTATACAACAGACACAATGGACTACTATAATGAATGACAGAACCGAAATAAGCCTCTGCCCGGCACCCATTATGCAGGAAAACCAGTGGTTCCAACGAACACCTTGTACAGGGCCTGTCTAGCCATTCTACCCAGTAACCACTTTGAGGAAATTCAATCTGAATAAATTCATATTGTTTAGAAGTTTATCTGTCCTATTGCATGTCACATTGTTCCTCTGTGTTCTTAATTGCAATATTGTAAAGGAATAGACTCCAACCCATTGAAGTGTTATGCGTCTACATGTGACCAGTTGGCTAAGACTTTGGAAATACATCATTCTTGACTGGTTACTTGTAAAACTAAGACTTTTGGAATACATCATCGTTGACTGATTACTTGTAAAACTAAGACTTTTGGAATACATCATTGTTGACTAGTTACTTGTAAAACTAAGACTTTTGGAATACATCATTGTTGAACTGTTACTAGTAAAACTAAGATTTTTGGAATACATCATTAATGACTGATTACTTGTAAAACTAAGACTTTTGGAATACATCATTGTTGACTAGTTACTTGTAAAACTAAGACTTTTGGAATACATCATTGTTGATCGGTTACTTGTAAAACTAAGACATTTGAAATACATCATTGTTGACCGGTTACTTGTAAAACCAAGACTTTTGGAATACATCATTGTTGACTGGTTACTTGTAAAACTAAGACTTTTGAAATACATCATTGTTGACTGGTTACTTGTAAAACTAAGACTTTTGGAATACAGCATTGTTGACTATTTACTTGTAAAACTAAGACTTTTGGAATACATCATTGTTGATCTGTTACTTGTAAAACTAAGACTTTTGAAATACATCATTGTTGACTGGTTACTAGTAAAACTAAGACTTTTGGAGTACATCATTGTTGACTAGTTACTTGTAAAACTAAGACTTTTGGAATACATCATTGTTGAACGGTTACTAGTAAAACTAAGACTTTTGGAATACATCATTGTTGACTCGTTACTTGTAAAACTAAGACTTTTGGAATCATCATTGTTGAACGATTACTAGTAAAACTAAGACTTTTGGGATACATCATTGTTGACCGGTTACTTGTAAAACTAAGACTTTTGTTATACATTATTATTGACTGTTTTTTTTTTGAGCGTTGTAAAATGAAAACACACATTATCAAAAAATATTTACCACATAGACCATACTTACTGCAACACTAATCCGGCTTTCTGTTGTTTTAAAATAATCTGAGGACCTGTTTTTCAAATCGTGTTCTAATTGTCCGTATTTGTTGTAAATCAAATCCACTGTATATTTCACTAAACGATCTTTGGTAAACATATATATATATATATATATATATATATATATATATATATATATATATATATATATATATATATATATATATATATATATATATATATATATATATATATATATATACATATACATATTTATATATATGACAATAAAAAAATATTACATTTTATTTTAAAAAGGACTTAAATTAGGATCAAGTACATGTAAAGTTTAGTAAACTTCCCTTCTCAGACCTAAATTTCCATAGGTCAGATAAAGTAGAATTCATCGTTTTCTTGACTTTGGCATATGAAGAGATAAAAATTGTACTCATCAAGAAGGCCTTACATACCGCGGACCAGTCGATCGCTACAATCGGGGTTTCTGCAACAGACAACACAGCCCAATGGAGGCAGGCCTTTCCGGCATTCGTTGAAAGTGCTCACATGCTGCCTGTAACAGTTTGCTGTTTCTCCACATCCGGAAGAGAAGGAAACGCCGGTACTGTTTATTTTAAGTGTCGTCAGACATTGTGTCTGTAGAATAGAAATTTAGTCTCTGTTTAGTGTAAGTCTGGTCTAAAATTGTGTCAGTAGAAGAATTGAAATTTAGTCTCTGTTTAGTGTAAGTCTGGTCTAAAATTGTGTCAGTAGAAGAATGGAAAGTTCGTCTCTGTTTAGCGTAAGTTTGGTCAGACATTGAAGAATTATTTCTTGTCACAATTATTTCTATCTACAAGTGTATACGAGTGGTCATCATCTTTTCTCGTTAGTTCCAAACACACATGGGGCAGGTGAGGTAGAGTTTTATCTGTTTCTACTATTTCGGCGCAAACAAGTCATCATCAAGTCATGCCGACTTTTATTTTGTCTAACTTAAATCAGGTACTCATTAGAGCTGGGTGAACTCAATGATGTTCTACATATTTGTTTCCGGGATCCGAACTCGAGAGCTTCGGGTTAGCAGTCGTAAGATTTACCCTTCGACCGCGATATCCGTCATTTAGTACACTGCCGCATCCCCCGTTCTAGCTAACAAAACCGACCCTCTAATTCAATATAGCTCACTTTCACATCATCACAATAAGGTTTTGGACATTTCGAAAAGGCGAAGAAGTCTTTTACGTTTGTACAGATACGACACACATGCCGCATTTTTTTGCTGGAGCTCGGGCCTGTAATCAAATTTAAAAAAATTCATGTGGTTCGATAGAAATGCTTACTAATTTGGTCAAAATTTTAATTAATTCATAAAAAATTAATTAGGCATCCAATTAAGTCAAATTTAATTTCAGATTGCATTGTCTTCATGTCTTGACCCACGTGCCAACTGTGAACCGTTTCTGTCAAATAGAAGTGTCCGAATTTCGCTCCGGCGTTTCGATCTAGACAGACTGACGACTGACGACAGACAGAGGGAGTGAGTTAAATAAAAGCTTGTAACAACGCAATTTGCTTGAAAAGTGGTTCAAAACCTTAAGAAATATTCTAATATTAGAAATATGCTAATATTGTAAACAATTTAAAATAACTATGGCAAAAAATCAACGCCGTTTCCTAACCATCGATTGCACTTAGTTTCCTATAGTTGTATTTAGGCTAAGCTGTTAAAAACCAATTATTTTTTATTTGATCACTTTAATTATATATTAAAAAATATATATATAAAAAAATCTGGTATCTAGTGTTGAGTCAACAGGGGTAACCCGGGAAAATAAAACAATAAGAGTCAAAACAATTGTTTTATACCGTAAAATTAACAAAATTAACGTACAGACTGACTAGAGGTAATCAAAATGGCCATCAGTGGACTTAATCAGTTCGATTCAAGATGTTAAATAAACCGGGAGTGATCTCCACTAAACTTTCTCGAATATTCTTATATAAAACAACAGGGGATGGGAACTCGGGATATAGTTATGATTTTTAATCCATTTTAAATACTTAAACTTTTTAAAATAAAATAGATTTTCATAGAAAAAAATATTGCACACCAAGCGAACGCCGAATAAAGATGTTCATAATGGTGCGCAATATTATTAGTACTTTATAAATTTAGATGCGATTTTGAGAAATCGGAAATAGCGTAAATTAGTACTTCCCGTCAACGGAAATTACTCAAAGTTTGTCAGAACGAATAGAATTAGATATCTTTACTTACATGTGAAATTTCATTTATCTATCTGAAATAGTACTCAAGTTATAGGCTTTTGAAAAATTCAAAGTAGAAAAAGTACCACTTCCGGTTATCGGAAATCGCTCAAAAGTTGATACTGATCTACGATTTTGATAAAATGCTTATATATGAAATTTCATCAACCTAGCTGTAACGGTACTCAAGTTATCGTGTTTACAGTTAATTAATTATGTGTGTGAATATATATATATACTAGCTGCATCCCGTGCTTCGCCACGGTAATTCATTTTTAAATGTACCAACTTGGGAACAGAACAAAACTAAACACAAACGAACGCAAAAAAATGCAATCATAAAGGCATATTGCTCACAGTCTAGCCCGTAGCGCCAAATCGCGCCCTTTCTGAGCGCCGGCGGACGCGTCTGACACAGTTAATGAGGCGTAGCGACCCTTCCCGGCGCTCGGGGACAAACTTTCGATTTGCTACCCCCCCCCCTCAAACTTTTGATTTGCACCCCTTCCCCTCAAACTTTCAATTTCCACCCCACTCCCTTAAACTTTAGCTTTGCACCCCCCCCCCATCCCCCGCAAATTTTCAATTTGTTTTTCCAACCCATTTTGGCGCCCCCTAAGGTCGGCGCCAGGGAACATATACAAACCCCCCCCCCTTGCAACCCATCTGCTATAAAACCCCTAGCTTGTCCGCAAACCGAAAGATAGAATAATAATTAGTAAATAATACGTTCAGTGTATAAAATTAATTAACGGCATTATTTAGAATATCCGTGTTTTACAGACCATATTGCACATTATAAATTCATGCATTTTTTTCAGTACTTTTTAAAATTTACAATAAAGTTTCATGACTAAAACCATTGCGCACCTAACGAACGTGATAATTAATATAAGAATGGAGAATAGTTTATTAAAAATTATAATTAGTAAACAGTAAATTCAGTGAATAAAATAAATAAAAGATAGCCTTTTATCAATCAATGTGCAAATCGAAAAGTTTGTCCCCTGGCGCCGCGTAGGGTTGCTACGCCTCTGAACCAAGGTGTCAGTTCATGAAACTAAAGAACTGACGAATTTCATTTTAGTGTCTTAAGTTTATGGGTTAATTTCGTCATGGCCTTTATTGCAAAAATCAAACCATTAAGTCAATTACAATGTTATAGAAGATTTCAGCAAGCTGTTATGGAATTTTTCCTAGACTGTCACCATTTTTACTCTAGCGATTTTTTTTTGTTCAGAAAATGACGATTTAAAGTGTGTCATACATAATACAACCTTTCGAATTCATTATAACAACCAAATATTTGGTTCACAAATTAAAAACAAAATCGTGTCGTTGCCTGTATTCTGAAAACAAACACACAAAAACCTATCAATTATGTGAGAATATTCACGTTCAACTACCAAAAGCGTCATAAATTTATATTTAAAAACAACAAATTAAAAATCGGAATCAAGCAAGAAAACGAAACGTGATTATTTATAAAATATTGATTCGATCACCACAATAGATAGTAAAAAAAGATACATATATTCACAGCTGTAAGAAGCGACTGGGAAGACAGTTTAAATCATATAATAGAAGAGTAAAAAACACACAGTAAATGACTCACTGCCTTTCTTTTTCCACAGATTCGGCTACAATTTCGAAAGCAATCATTTGCTGGCTTGATTTAATCTTGTTTCCGCGGTATTTGTTTTTTTCGATCAGGTGAAGCGAAAAGTTCTCGCTACGAATTCCAGAACGCTAAGCATGTCGTTTTATTTTAGGAGAACTATTTTAACGACTAATTCTAGCAACAACTAATATACAAACCCGGATTATTGACATTCTCAATCGGCGTATGTAAGTTATAAAATATGTTTATTTGACGAGAAAACATAAAATAAATAAAGAAAAATAGTTGTACGTACCACTACACTTTTCAAAGTGAGTACTTAACGCTGTAAGGTAGGACAGCTGACTCGTGCCACTGACGCACGTGAATTTCGACAGCGCGCTCTGCAGATCCTCTTGGCTGAAGGTCACTGCGAGGCGCTCTCTTATTGTTAACAAAGCACAACTACATTGTAAACTTGCACTCCTAATCAACCTGCATAGACACAAACAATTCTTGTAAAAAAAAACACAACTTTACACGTTACTTTATGAGATACAATAAAAGACGTTGGAAATTAGGAAACTTGGCCGTCGAGGAGGCTGTGTATATACAAATAATTATCTGAGTACAATGTTGAGGAACATAATATCAAATTTATCGCTAACATCATTGTTATTCGATTTAATGATTAATTACATCACTTACGTTTGATTTTAAACAAGCAGATAATGCTCAATGAATGTGCTAGAAAATATAACATCTACATTGTTGTAAACCGTCAACTATATATATATATATATGTATATATATATATATATATATATATATATATATATATATATATATATATATATATATATATATATATATATATATATATATATATATATGGTTCCATGACAAATGATCTGAGAACAAATGATCTCACGGACAAAATATACCAGGACAAAAATTTATCGGCCAAATGATCTCAGGACATAATATATCAGGAAAAATGATCTCAGGACAAAAGAATTCAGAACAAATGATCTCAGAACAAAATATATCATGACAAATGATACCATGGACAAATGATCTCTATCAATATATCGTGTAACATATCCAGTTCAAAAGAGAGAAAATTGCAGCGTTGGTTCTGCTTTAGGTGCAATGAGGACCTCAAAGAATATATGGTTTAATGTTTTTATTTAAATGTCAATGTTTTCGTTATTACAATTTTTTTTCAGACGGATTTCAAAGACACACAGACATACAGCCACAATTGCAAAATTTCCGACTCAGGGAGGTGTAAAAAGCCAAAAAATGTCAAAGAACAAATTAAGAAGTTTAGTGATCTTTGTAAGTAAAGTTCCTCTTGAGACTTTGCAGATGAAGTAGAGTTAATGTTTCTTGATCTTGGCATACGAAGGAATGGTGTATGTCCCGCTTTTATTTTCCCTTACGTAGTTCAGGTACCCATCAGTGGCGTAGCTAGGGGAGGGCGGGTGGGGCGGCCACCCTGGGCGGCTAACCTTAAGTGGGCGCCAAAAGAGGTAGAAAAAAATGTAAGCTCATTTTAAGCTGATGGGGGGGGGGGGGATTCACTAACACGATATTAAAATATATAAATGGGAGGGGGCACAAAATTGATAGTTTACCCCGGGCGCCGGAATGGGGCGCTACGTCTCTGGAACCCATCAAACAAAACAAAGCTGGGTGGACTCAAGAACCTCCTACAATAACAAGACCCGAACTCGAGACCTTCCGGCAAGTAGCCTAAAAAAATAGCAATCACTGCTGGTGTTTTTAATTCTACTATCAACGAAAAGATGTACCCATACCAAGTGTACTTGTTATAGTTCGTAATACATATAGAAAAGACTTACAGATTTATCTTTGCGCCAACTACGTTGAACATTGTGTAGTCGTTAATGCTTTCTACATTATTGCCAGTAAGGTCACTGTGGAAAACATGAAGATGATTTCAATTATCGTTCAGTGTCATCAATTCAATTTAGTGCTATAGGGCTATAGAAATGTTTTTTTTTTAAATTAGTTTATTTTTAATTACTTTAAAAAATAGAATGGAGTCGAGTACAAACAATAATTGCACACTAAAGAATATTTGCATAATTTAGAAAAAAAAAATTGTATTTTTTAAAGAAAACGTTGATTGATTTTTAATCTGTGTATACTAAACATCTACTTAAGTCATATTTTATGTCACAGTGCATTGTCATCGAATTTTGATCAATAAAAGACTAAAGCAAATCAGTTCTGGTAGAAGTGAGTCTTTACTGAGAAATCAGAAATCCCGTAAAGTACCATTTCCTGTCACCAATAATCGCTCATAATTTTAAAGACTCAAAAAAAAAAAAAAACCTTAAATTTAAAATATAAAATTACGTCAACCTACCTTAAATAATACTTATGATGAGGGTATTCTAAAAAACGAAAATAGTGTAACGTCCCACCTTCCGTATAATGGATATCACTCAAAATTTAAGAGTAATCCAATTAAAATCTTATATTTATATGCCTTTATGAGATTCCGTTTACCTAACTGAAACAGTTCTCACGGAAATAGAGGAATAGTATCACATCCGGTAAACGGAAATCGTTCAAAATTTTACAGAAAGCTACGCATGTAATCTTATACTTATATTTGTAAATTTCACTTTACTAAAACGGCACTACTTTTACACTTTGTATACGAGAAATTTAAATGTATAAAAGTAGAACTAAATATATGTTTTAAGCGCTTTGGAAAACCAAAGAAGAAATTAAAAAATACACGTTTTAACACTTACACAATTAACCCTGGAATTAACGGGATGTTAACATTGTTCGCGCTAACAATTTTAATTTGGTTGTTAGTTAAATTTCTGAAATGTGTAATAAAAATGTGTAATTAACACTCATATATATATATATATATATATATATATATATATATATATATATATATATATATATATATATATATATATACATATATATATATATATATATATACATAGAGAGAGATATTAACTCGAAAGTCTAGACTTTAAACCCCAGGCTGGAGTCCCCAAAACGCCCCAGGCCCCACACAAATCTGATGGGTACATGGCCCTCATTAAGTAACAGCATGCGAAGCATAAAGATGACAACACTTCCCACTTCATTTTTCGAGATCACAAACATAGTTTCATACCTTTTGAAACCAAATTGTGATTTTTATTGTAATAAATTAAAGCCTATTTTCTTATGCTTTAAGGAATTGTAACAAAATAATAGAAATATGAGCTGAGCTTTTTAAAAATGTTTCTTTGAAAAAATTATATATTGTTTATTATATTGTTAACAGTTTTCAACAGTTTTGTAACATCAACACTCAAAGATATAAACACACACTTTTGAAAGATAATTAGCAACACTTATTAAAATGATTATGAGAAAAACTAAAACAATGAATAAATTAATAAAGTAAACATTACATCTGTTCAAGTTTATGCATGTTTAGTAAAGAATCCGGGTGGATAATGGATATTCTGTTGGTAAATACAAACCTGAAAATTTCAATAAATATACAATTCGGCCATATCTACAGCTATACTGTAGCTACAGTATAGTTGTAGCTACAGTATAGTTGTAGCTACAGTATAGTTGTAGCTACAGTATAGTTGTAGCTACAGTATGGTTGTAGCTACAGTATAGTTGTAGCTACAGTTACTGTTACGCTGAAAGTTAGAGAAACTGTTACAACAGGCATATACGCAGGTGCAGGTACAAGTACCTGAGGTAAAGGTAAATGTAAAGTTAATGGTACAGATAAGGTACCGGTACAGTTGCAGATGCAAGTGCAGGAGGTATAGGTAAATGTAAAGGTAAAGATAATTGTACAGATAAGGTACAGGTGTAGGTACACGTACAGGTAAAGGCGGTAGAGGTAAATGTAAAGGTAAAGGTAATTGTAAAGGTAAATGTACCTGTACAGGTACATGTACACTTAGAGGTACAGTCACGGGAGGTAAATGTAAATGTAAAGGTAATGATACAGATACAATACCGGTACCTACAGCTATTCTTTTATATCGTATTAAGTTCAGAAACACAACTTACAACAGCCTTAGCGAGGTTAAGTACTTGAAATCGTCTTTTTCAATTTTAGTGATTAAGTTGACTTGCAGCGCTCTACAAGCATTTAAATTTAAAAGCAAATAATTCTTTATACACAATATAACATACAGATGCGTAGCGAGGGGTGGGGCGGGGGGGGGGCAGGGGGTGCGGACCGCACCGGGTGATACCATTTAGGGGGGGTGCAATTCGAAAGTTTGAAAGTTTGTCCCCGGGAAGGGTTGCTACTCAACTTGGGGTGTTACCATTAAGTGCCGCACTGGGTGACACCCGACCTCGCTACGCCACTGATAACCTATAATATCAAATCTAACACCATTATTCTTAATAATTTGTTTTGAAAATACATACCTCCATAAAAAAATGCAATGCCAACGTCTCAAACTCATGTTTCTGTTTTAATCACACTATTTGAATGAACATCTAATGTCTAAGTGTTCATGTATTTTTTTCACTTCTTCTTCGTTCTTAATTTTTATTGTTGGAAGGGTTCGACCATGAGCTTTTGCCGACTCGACCACGCCTCCATCACATTTAAGAATACGTGTCAACTGGTTATGCGCCATTGTGGCCATTGACTCCGATTTCAGCCTGCTTTTCTTTTTGGATTTGCTTCCATAGCCTTTGTCCAACCAAGAACAAACTACAAGGCAGCAGTTGTTTGATTTTGGAGTTGTCTCTTCTAGAAGAGCTGCTGTTCCCAGCTAACGAACCTCATCTGGTCGAGTTTTTTTTCCCACTAACTAACCTGTACTTACAAAACCTCCGTTGTCACCGGGAAGCCGGATGGAACCTTGTCTAAATTTTTGTTGGCGCAGTTCACGGACTTCATGGTGCAGGCGCAGACGTCGTTGGTGTGGCCAGTAGTGGCATCTGGTGGGCAGGCTCTCTTTGTGACGCCACTATCGACCTGGGCGTAGCTCACTCTAGAAACGCACATTGAAAACACGAGCAACAGCGAACGCATCGTGATTTTAATTTGAAAGCAATCTCTCTTGCATTTCATTTCTGTTGGTTAGTCTGTATGTTTTTAACACATATAAAGCAGGTTAACTTTATAACTGCAATTTAAGAAAGAAAAAAAAAACAACACACATCTAAAATAATAATTTTCTAAATTATTAAACGAATATCTACCATTCGAGCTTGTATTATAATTTGGGTAATATCGCATATATCTCGCTTTATTAGGAATCGGTTGTTTTGGGGGAAAATACCAAGCAATTGACGATAACGTTGTGTATAACCAGCCTTAAACCCATTCACCGTAATCCCATCAACTATATTCAGAGCTTTTTCCTTCCTTATACGGAAACCGGCTCAGAAGGTTGACTTTTATTAGCCAGGCAGGCCTCAGTGTAGCAAACTCCGACCACAAGAGTTTCCCACACATCGGTCGCTACTTCCGTCGGCTCTCACCGGGCTTTCCTTCCCCACCCACCAGACGCGGTACGTCGTCCTACGGCCTGGTACCCAGCTTGATCGTGGGGGGCGTTCAGCCATTCTTTGAACCTAGCGCATACACCAGTTCTACTCGGCCAGAACAAAAACCTCTAACTGCTGTTGGCTACCACTAGCCATTCCGCACCCTTTAGGGGGGTCATGGGCTTGGTCCGACTAGTGGCACTCTTCCGAAGCCACGTGAAGGCCGCAGTTATAATCAGAGCTAAACGTATCCAATTGAAGTGCAGATTGGGCACCAAATGAACGCTAATAATGTTTAGAAAGTAGTACGTGGACGACTTTGACGAGCTGGGTTTGATCATCATTGTTGACATGGATAAATAAAGAGTGAGGGATCGTGTAGTGTAGCCCTAGTCTAAGTATAGTAAATAAATCTACAGCGTTACCGTTACCGATATAATTAGTGTCTAATTTCTCTAATAACCATATTTTCGAAATATAAAAATTATACTATACTACAACTCCATGTACTGGAAATATAGTAACTAAAAGATCTACACAGCAAAATATAAAGAAATAAACCGGGAGTGATCTCCCCTAAACTTTCTCGAATATTCTAATATAACCCTACGTGGGAAGGCAACTCGGAAAATAGACATGATTTTTGTTTACTTAAACTTTTAAAAATAGAATTGAATCTAGTAGAAACTGAATTGCGCACCAAGCGAACGCCAAAACAACACGTGCATAATAGTGCGCAATATTATTAGTACTTTATAAATTTACATGCGTTTTTTGAGAAATTGGAAATAGCGTAAATTACTACTTCCGGTCAACGGAAATTACTCAAAATGTGACAGAAGGTAGAGAATTAGATCTTTTACTTACATATGAAATTTCATTTAACTATCTGAAATAGTACTCAAGTTATAGGCTTTTTAAAAATTCAAAGTAGAAAAAGTACCACTTCCGGTTATCGGAAATCGCTCAAAAGTTGATACGGATCTACGATTTTGATAAAATTACTTATATATGAAATTTCATCAACCTAGCTGTAACGGTACTCAAGTAATCGTGTTTACACACAGACAGACACACAGACAGACAGACAGACAGACACACAGACATACGGACAAGATTGCAAAATTATGTTTTTCCGTATCAGTGAGGTGTAAAACGTCGAGATTTGTAAAAATCTCGATTTTTTTTTTTGCACGATTACAAGACTTTCTCTATACTTTGTATATACGAGAAAGTAAAAAAGAACGCTAAATTAATGACAAGACAGAAACAAAACTCAACCAAATCACAGCAAAACAAACATAACGCAACTTTAAACACAGAAGAAGAAAAAAATACAATAAATAGGAAACAGCACAAAAAGACATATCACACCACAAAATTAAAACACAACAAAGAGATTAGATCTAGATCTATTTAAAAAATTCAAGAGTGAAAAAAAAATAACTCCGCATAATAGCCTACTAATAAAATTTATATTTCGTAGCGTATAATTTTATAAAATCTGACGCTAATAGTGTTACCGTTTACCTTTTGCCGCTGCTTTTTCATAGAACTACAAATCATAACCTAAACCTTTATCCAACCAAGTTAAGCGAAGTGTCCAAAACAAATTTTGTATCTTCATGATGAACAGATTTTTATAACCATGTTTTCACGCGTTTTGAACCTGTTTACTTCCGGTTCAAATGGAGTGCTTTTTGGTGCGTTATCCCTGAGCTAAAGCTCACGATGCAAAATATAATGACTCACTTTCCTTGCTGTTAAGGTTCTGTTTTTACTTTCTCGTATATACGAAGTATAGAGAAAGTATTGTAATCGTGTACAAAATAACATGAAATTTTGACAGTTTTCACCGTTTTATTCCTCAGTCCTTCATTACATCCGGAGTATATAGGACTTATTTTAATCAGGCAAAAATTATAAATACAAATATATAAACATTTTGGCGTTGTATGCGTTATAGAGTCGTAAAAACTGGACTTTGCAATTCTGTCCGTTGTCTGTGTGTCCATGTGTAAACACGATAACTTGAGTACCGTTACAGCTAGGTTGATGAAATTTCATATATAAGTATTTTATCAATATCGTAGATCCTGATCAACTTTTGAGCGATTTCCGATAAACGGTACTTTTTCTACTTTGAATTTTTAAAAAGCCTATAACTTAAGTACTATTTCAGATAGATAAATGAAATTTCACATGTAAGTAAAAGATATAATTCTCTAACTTATGTCAAATTTTGAGTAATTTCCATTGACCGGAAGTACTAATTTACGCTATTTCCGATTTCTCAAAAAACGCATGTGAATTTATAAAGTACTAATAATATTCCTCACTATTATACACATCTTTATTCGACGTTCGCTTGGTGCGCAATTCTTTTTTTTTATGAGATTCTATTCTATTTTAAAAAGTTTAAGTATTTAAAATGGATTAAAAGTCATGTCTATATCCCGAGTTGCGATTCCCTGTTGTTTCATATAAGAATATTCGAGAAAGTTTAGGGGAGATCACTACCGGTTTATTTTAATTTATTTTTAATTTCTCTTATACGAAGTATTGAACAGAATGTTTAATTGCCCAAAAAAATTAAAGGAAATTTGGACAGCGTTTGCCGTTTTACGCCCGTTAATGGAATATAAGGAATGTATTTTAAATAGTTATAAAAATTGAAATCTCGATGTTTTAGACTTTTCAGAAACGAAAAAACATCGTTTTGAAATCTCGAGCGTGTGTCTAACTAACTACAATTTAAATCTTTCAAAATAACACACCACGTGCATACCAGACATGCCGATGCTCACTATCTCGTTTTAAACAAAAATGAAAGAAAACGAGGAACATCGGCAGTCGCATTCATACAAATCACTCAAAGATAAAGTATAAAAAAACAAATACCTCCACGCGTGAGGTGCGCCACGCGCCCACACAGAAACCGACCCTGTCTAAATCTTGCCTCGGGTCAAAAGAAGGAAAATTCATCCGAGCGGTGAATTTATACTGACCGCTTCGGGCGGAAGGGGGACCCCGTGGTCGTTCCCCATTGGACCACCATGCACTCACAGATTCGCACCAAATAAATTAATACAAAAATAAATAATCCATTCACCCGCTCACATATATATATATATATAATAATCTTCTTGGATACCCTAGAAAACACCAAGCTATAAGCGCGCCTAGCAAGCCCCTGTCTTCCTCTCTAGGCATATCCCTACCACCCCCACCCCCACATTGTCTGGTGAGATGTGGTTCATGCTAAATTTTTACAATCGTAGCGCTGGGTTTAGAGACGGCTATTAGGGGCAGCTAATTTAGTTTAAAACGATTTTAAACTTAGGGGAGGTAACTAAGAAGAGGCTGCTTTCACGAGGGAGAAGAGGGAGAGGGGATGGGGAAAAGGAGGGTGTGGGGGGGGGGGGGTATTTATCGTCCTTAACGAGCTACTGATAGAAAATAAAACAACTAGATGACGTATGCTACGTAGCGGGTCTGCTCGTATATATTATTTATATTATTAAAAAATTACAAATGAAGGAGTAAGTGAGGCAGAAACTCGCGGGACCAGTGGCTGCGAACGTAGATGCGAGAATCGCACGATTTTTTCTACCCCTGTTGCATCCCTCCACACAGTGGAGTGTTAGGATGGTCGTTTAAAAATGTAAATAATGTGAGTCGTGAGAGAGAGAGAGAGAGAGAGAGGCCTCCCCTGAGAAATATATATAATACGGTGTGTGTGAGACTGGTGTGTACGAGAGGAATTGTGTTGTGGGAAAATGGTGTTTATCGCAATGATATGTGATGTTCTAGACCAGGGGTCTCCAAACTTTTCAGTCCGAGGGCCGCATTAACTATCGAATTTCAGTTCGGGGGCCAGTTTCATCCAGGCGTGTCTTTGATTTTTTCTGCGCAAAGTTCTTCAGCCATAACCAACAAACGATTTTTCCTTGGACAAAAAGATCTCCGCGAGCCGGATGAGAGGACTTCAGTTATCGAATTTCAGTTCGGGGGCCAGTTTCATCCAGACATGTCTTTGATTTTTTCTGCGCAAAGTTCTTCAGCCATAACCAACAAACGATTTTTCCTTGGACAAAAAGATCTCCGCGAGCCGGATGAGAGGACTTCAGTTATCGAATTTCAGTTCGGGGGCCAGTTTCATCCAGACATGTCTTTGATTTTTTCTGCGCAAAGTTCTTCAGCCATAACCAACAAACGATTTTTCCTTGGACAAAAAGATCTCCGCGAGCCGGATGAGAGGACTTCAGTTATCGAATTTCAGTTCGGGGGCCAGTTTCATCCAGGCATGTCTTTGATTTTTTCTGCGCAAAGTTCTTCAGCCATAACCAACAAACGATTTTTCCTTGGACAAAAAGATCTCCGCGAGCCGGATGAGAGGACTTCGCGGGCCGCATCC